ACATTAAAAAAAATACAATATTTAATTAAACATTTTTTCGTATATAAATACGATTTTTCTATATGAATATGTATATTATGAAAAAAAATACTTAGGGTAAAAGTGTAAAAAAAAATTATAAACTTAAGGGTAAAAACGCAAAACAGTGGTAAAATTAAGGGTTTTTTTGCAAATTTAATATAATGGTAACCTGGAAAACCTGTTATCACCGGTAAAAGGGTAAAACCGAACATTTTTTTCGAAAATGTTAGGGTAAAAACGGACATAAAATTCAACTTTGGGCAAAACCGACAAAACCTTGAAAACTTGAGGGTTTTTATGACATTAACCCTAAAATATAACACAAATCTTTCATTCCAGTGATAATAATTTTTTGAAAGATAAAAATATAGAAAAACTTTACAAATATATTGAAGAGTAAATTACATATTTGCTCGCAGAGGTTTGTTCAAAACAACTTTAGTCCAGTGTTGGTGATTGTTGCAAGTTTGGTCCATATTTCAATCTAAATTAGTAGGTTTGGTCCTTCACTCGAACTCCCTTTTGTTTTTTGCTGTCAAGAACCCTCATGTGCCATGTACATGAGGATAGTTTGGTCTTTTCGCAACACGTCATTCTATTTCTCCCTTCGTCTCTTTGTTTCCAGTTCAGTAAGATAAATAGACGAGTCCGTAAGATAAATAGAGCTCGAGTCCACTGAACCCTACCAAAACAATTATCGTCCGACTCATGTATACTCAAATACACAGGTTTTTCACAATGTGGAATAGGAGAAGTAAATGTTATCATGTTGACATCAAAGTTTATATATGGTATGTAGTCTCTATTCCAGCCTTTGATTCTATGTTATGACCTCTGATTTTTATATCATGGCTTTGATTATGTATTATTTGCTATGCGTTTGTGTTATTGACTTTGATTCACTTTTCTTAGCTTTGATTTTATGTTGGTAGCTATATATTTATATTATGTATTTTATTCTCTGTTTGTGTAATAAGATTTTATTAATTATGTGGTTGACTTTTTATAGGAAGTTATAAAAACATCTTTAATATAAATATACATTATGGTGGGATGTTCACCCCATCACTGCAAAAAGCTACATTAAAGGTGAAGTAAACTATTTTGATGTGCTTGACATTTGAGACTTTACAATGTTTGATTTTTTTATCATGATAAGCGAAATGAAGTATGATACAAATGTCCCATTTTCTCACCATTCATGTTGATTTGGAAAGTGGGCTTATAGCCAAAAAGGATGACGAGTGTATCTTTCTTATGTCTCATTTTATTACATATATCAATAAAATCCAGGTGTACTCATAACATAACATGACATTCACTTGCTAATAATAGCCTATGTAGACTACTATAACATAGATGGATAAATGGGTGATGAAGATTATGAAAATTCCTAATCCATTGTTGTTTACGAAGGAGACATGTTATCAAGATTCTGATCAACCAATGAAGGTTGTCTCATAGATATGTGACGAAGAATGTGACAATTTCCAATCCATTATTGTCTATGAAATAGTGCATGTTGATAAGACTATGACAATTCCAAAGCCATTTTTGTGTATGAGAATTTTGGTGGATAAATGAAGTGTGGTGGTGATGGGTAACTGGTGAAGGACGGTATGGAGGTGAGTGACAGTCTAATGAATGGGCATTATGGTGGTAAGCTTAAGGGACTAAGGAGTAGTCTAATGGTAAAGGGCATTCCGGTGGTGATTGTCATTGTGAAGATGGTGGGGCTAGTAAATGTGAATAAGTTGTAATGAAGGATAGTTAATCAAGTAGGATAAATTTTTATGGATGTCATTGTCAAGTAGGATAACTTTTGGTAGATGTAGATTTCGGTTAACAGATTGTGGTAAATGTATCTCTTATTTTGGTTGATTTAGTATATCTTATGGATGGTGAAAAATAGTAGTTGTAATGGATGGTAAATGTTTTGTGGTAAGACAATTCTATTTTTTGTTGTAATGAATGAGTTTCCGTCAAGTATATTATGTTAATCAAATTTCAAGTTTCATCCTGCTAATCAAGTTTCAATTTATTATGAATGATAGACAGTGGTGTATGGTTTAGGTTCATGATGTTAATCAAGCTTCAATTTATGGGTTTGGTATCATCCGATTTAAATTTATGGTTTCAATCAAGAATACCATGATCATGGTTGTCTCAGATTTGTATTTAAATTTATGTTCAAGGTGAAGATTTTGTATGTGATTTTGGTTTGCATTAGATTTTGATTTTGATTTGGATTTTTAGTGGTGGTGGAGTATTGTCCTGTTTTGTAATCTTTAAGAGGAAAATAGCATGTTAATGTGAAAAAACGAAACTATCATCATGTTAGAAACAAACGAGAGTTAGTGTCAGGGACCAAAGCGGCTAATTTAGTTTGAAATAGGGATAAAACCCACAACAATCATCAAGTTTGGACTAACCTTGTTATTTTGAACAAACGTCAGGGAAAAAACATGTAATCATTCTATATTAAATAATACTTTTATCATAAGCTAGTAACTAGTAAATTTTCATTTGACAAAACTGCACAAATGGTCCCTGTGGTTTGCTCAAAATTGCCACTTTGGTCCAAAAAAGTTTGGACTAGCACCAAAGGTCCAAACTTTTCATTTTGTTGCTTGTTTAGTCCATTCTATTCTGATTTTTTTCAAAAGGACGGATTTGCCCCTGTTAATATGATTTTCTTTTTTGTTTTCTTAATTGTTTTTTGTGATTCTGATTTTCAGATTTTAAAAAATAAAAAATAAAAATAAATCACTCTCTCTCTCTCTCTCCAATTAGCCATCTTCTTCTTCCTAAAAATTGTCCAGATGAAATAAAAAGTTTGGACCTCTGGTGCTAGTCCAAACTTTTTTGAACGAAAGTGACAATTTTGAGCAAACCAAAGGGATCATTTGTGCAGTTTTGTCTTTTCATTTTTATTGCTTCCTTTTAAGTTTTAATTTCTACGAAGACACGCTCTAGTTACTACGAAACTTCACGCGCATTTTGCCACTTGCTGCCCTTTTTAGTGTCCATTTATGTATATAAACCCTACCCACACCACTCCATCTCACACACTTCCCCAACAACGATCAATAATTCTACAAGCAAACACACACACACAATTCACACTCTCATCTCCTTATGGGAATCCAAATGCATATTCGTAAGAAGGTAACCCTAATGCCTCACAGCAGAATCCGAAGAGATACTCACAAAATCGCCGACGACAACGACGACGACCGGTGGTTTCCGTTCTACTTCGTCATCATGATGCCTAACACCGTCGCTACAATCGCCAAAGCTATCCGCCGTAATGAATATTCAACGGCGCTTCTCTGTGCATCGGTTTGTTTATGTTTCGTTTTGTTGAAATTCTGTCTATCTAGATACCGATCCTTGCCTGAAAACGAGAAATCGAGCCAGAAATTTGTGCTGAAATTGTATATGTGGTTTCTATACACCGCTATTTCGTTTGGATTTCTTTATCCGTTTGCGGATTTCTTCCCTCCGCCGACGACGGTGGCTCTGTATTCCGTTGTGGTGGTGTTTAGTTTGTTTTTGTTCTATGTGTTCGTGATGGTTGATCTCGTGAGGTATTGGAAGCTCTGGATACACAGTGAGGATGAACACAGGAGGTTAGATGCCAGAAACTTGAATGATCACTCCGTTTTGATCTGGGAGCAAGTTTGATTCAACTAGTTATTTTGTTGTTTGCGAAATGTATCACTGTGTGTGAGTGTGTTTTTCTTCGAAATCACACCCCCTTTGAAACTACTTCTATGTTGTAAGATATATAAGTAAAGATTTTGCATCATTGTTCAATTTGAAATTTGACATGAATGGCCGATTAGACTTGAAAATTCAAAACTCATAAAGTACTTAATTATTGTATTTATTTGTGAGTTTATTTATTTATTTTTGTTTTAAGAAAGTATGATGGGGAGTTCAAACACATGAAAAACATGTTTTTATTAATTTACATTAAATAAAAACATGTTTTACACATTTTTTATATTGATAAGCAAAACAAAATGTTGCTCGGAAAACAAACAACAGAACTGAGTTACAGTCAATTTCATATTAAGAAATTATTTTATTTATTTTCTCATATTTATGAATATAACATGTATTAAATGGTCGGTCAACTTTCATACTCCTTTTACATATGTCAATTGTCAACAAAGAATATTAATTTCACTTCAATATTCATCAATTTCCGTGTGCCTTGTTTGATTTGATGAAACCTCGTTTGAAGTTGAATTCTTTTAGATTTGTTGTGCAAATAAGCACCCTAACTTCTTCCACAACTCATAAGTTGTTTTTGTACCAACCGCAACATGAGCTAATGACGAACTCAAGGTTGCATTTATACAAATTTCAACATATTTATTCAATTTATTCCATGTCTTATACTCAGTGCTATTTATAGAAGGTTGTAGAGACGTTCCATCAATGAATCGTATTAGATCAAGTGACTCAAAAACAGACGAAATCTGATGTTTCCAAACCAAATAATTGTTTTCATTCAATTTGATAGAAACAAAATTAAAGATATTAACGATTGGTGGTAATTGAGACGAAGAAGTAGTAGCAGGAGGAGTTGTTTCATCCATTTTCAACTTATGAACAAGGATAAGTTGTCGTAAGATCAAGAGAGATGAAATTTTGATTTCAGAACAATCTTAAATCAGGGCTTTAAAAGAAAAGAGACAATTGAGATAAGAAAGAAAAAGAAGAAAAATCCAGTGAAGAAAAAAGAATAAGAAAGAGATTTACTCTTTTGACGAAGATGCTCTGTTTCAGATCTTATTTCAAATCTGATTTTGTTTCTTCTCTGTGGTCATCAATGGAGAAATTGAGATTCAAAGCTTGTTTCGAAAAATGATAATATTGCCCTAATCAGCAGCTCTGATACCATGAGAGAGAGAGAGAGATTATATATGTATTCATCTTGTTACTCAATACAGTGCAGAGCACACCTTTATACATGAGCCTCAATAATTACAACAGACTTGTAACTAATCTAACAAACCAATGCTAACATGTGAAATAGCTAACTAACTTTAACTAATTTGTTTGCTGCTTGACAACTCTATACGCTATCATTTTGTATTTGTGTTTGTTTGTTAAGAATTGTAGTTTGTTCTTGTTTGTTTAGTTGATAAACGAACACAAACGAACATAAAGGAACACAAACTCCGACGAACTTAAACAAACATAATTGAACATTAAAAAGCATAAATGAACGAACAAAAACGAATTTTAATGAACATAAAGAAACTAACTGCATGCTAGATTAGGGCTAAGGAGTTAGGAAGGATGCCTTATGTGCCTGTATATGTGTATCAGCTTTATGAATTGCATGCTAGTACAGATTAGTCAGTGATATGATGGCCTGATTAGGATATGCTTGATTATGTTTACTCGATGCTCGAATGCTGCTTGCTTTGTGCTTTTAGGAGTCTTAGTTATCTTTTACTAACTAGTAAACGAATATGTTAAGTTACATATTGCAAGGATTAAATAATTTCGGAACGTTAGGTCTAGCTCTATTTCGCAGCTCTTGTTTGAGTCCAACCGTTGTAGGGTAGGATCTCTTATTCGAAGAATTATCTAGTCAGTGATATGTAATGGTATTCGCGTGCTAGTTAGGAGAGATAGCAGGGACTTCTTATGCAACTGATGGCGGAGAGTGGGTTGGTGATTACCCTAGGGCAAGCCTAGGATGAGAGTAGTGTTGGGAGCATTAGTAGTAGTGAAAGGGATTTGTGGAGTCGAGGCAATTCTTGAGGAAAGTACAGATAGATGTGGAAGGTAGTATGGGCCCGTAATACTGAAAGCAGAGGATCCGTACTCGAGTCAAGAAGGGCTGAGATAAAACCAAGAAACTTGTAGTGTGTGTGTGTGTGATCCCTCGATAGTGATGAGTATCCTGATAGTTATTATGGTATGTTTCGAGTATGGTGATGTTACGTGATAGGCCAGTTGGCAGTTCTGGCGCAGACAAGGGATCAGGCTCGGACTCTGGAGCCAGGCAGCACGATGATCAGATGAGGGAGTTCATTCTATCTGAGGTTACGCACATTATCACTTACCAGACTCCTGTGATCTTTGGTATGGTCAAGGAGGGCATTTTAGAGAATCTTAATGAGAAGCGGAGTGCATTCCGCACTGAGATAGCGACCATGATAGGGACGCGTACATTGATGATTCGGGAGTTCAGAGCTTGTGAAGCTCCAGATTATCATGGGCGAGGGACCCCATTGCTAGCATCAGATGGTTGGCAGATGTCGCCAACACTTTTCATACCAACCGTTGCCCGAGAGGGACAAGGTCCGACTTACTTCCTGCCTCCTGAAGGACAGGGCACGTGATTGATGGGAAGAAGTTGATAGTGAGTTGGGTGATGATGTGGTCTATGCTATGTCATGGGATGACTTTTCGATCGGATTCCGGGCAGAGTTTGCACAGGCGATTGACTTGCAGCAGTAGGCGCGAGAGTTTCGGAAAAGTGTTTGTTGGTACCGCAGTACACAGCATGCGAGGAGATGGAGTATATCGGAGTGCGAGACTCTTAATGATATGATTTCTAGAGCCTGTAAGTGGGAGATAGATTTGGAGCACATTGGTAAGAGAGGGGTTAAACCAGGTGCAAACATTGGAGGGTCCCAGGAAGAGACCTAGGTTTGCGGATCAACCTTTAATCAGCCAGCAGGGCCGGATTCAGAGCAGCACTGACGGGAAGATGCACGACGAAGTTCTCGTTCCAAGGGATTGAGTAAGTGTATCTTGGAGTCATATTTTTTGCCTGTGTGTGGATTATATTTTCAAGTGATGTCATATGCCAATTGCATATCGGGAATTATTAGTGGTTAGTAAAGGTTGTTCTCCTTTTTCGGGATGGAAGTGTTCAGTATTATCTTGGTTTTGGTTGAGATCAGTTCAAGGGTATTATGCGGAAGGTTTACGATCTGGGTTCCGCAGGATGATTATCCAGCATCGTCAGGATTCGGTGAGTTCAGTCCTTGAGCTTTGACTAGTTGGAAGCGCCAAGGGAAGTGGCTCGTTGTTGAGGTATGGGTTGGAGCATATGACTTTTGGTCTTCAAGGCTTGAGTGTGGTAACATTTCAAGAAAGTAGGGGTGATCGGTTTTGCTAGAACTCGGGAAGTGTTCTGCTAGTCTTCAGGAGTGGTATTGCTTTAGTAATGGTTAGTCATGATACGCTAGCAGTGGTAAGCGTTGGTTTCCAGCAGATTGATCATTGGAATGTAAGAAGGATTGGGAATCCTTTCCAAGCTATGATTTGTAAGGATTTAGTTGGACCAAAGTGGGGGAGAACCCTCAAGGTGTTCAGAAACAGAAATGAGTGCGAAACTAGGATGAGTTCGCATACCCGTTAGGTATGAAAGAGGCCCAAGTGGCTGTTTGGATAGAGGAGTGTGTGAGTTGGGAGTTTGGGAAACTTCCCATCGTTGAGTTTGCGTATTCACGGTAGTTGATAGTTGGTGTTGGGAAACCAGGTTGGAGAATTCCCAGCAGGATGCGAGTTAGTAAGGATGTTAGACTGCTCGAGCACCTGACATTGTATGTTTTCGGGTTGATAGTCATCGGTTAAGACAGTGTGGAAAAGTGTTGTAAGACTGCGGGATAGCCGTAGCATTCACCAGCAGCCAGACAACGTGGAACATGTTGTAAGACTGTGGGATAGCCGCAACATTCATTAGCGGACAGATAGCAGAGAGTGAGCGGGGGCCCGTATCTCCTAGTTAGCGGAGTGTGGGCGGGGGCCCGTATCTCCTATTCAGCGGAGTGTGGGCGAGGCCCGTATCTCCTAGCTAGCGTGATCAGATTTAGGAAATGATAGGTAGATAGGATTCGAGGTGGAGTTATACCTGCGTAACCCAAGATAGGTGAGACCTAGGGGCAAGGCCACTCCGTAGTGTGGATGGGTGGGACCTGTGGCCGAGGCTCGTGTGCTTGTAGCAAGGAAGGTGGGACCTGGCAAAGACCATAGGGTCAAGGTAGGGGATCCCAATATTATAGAGCCATGAGTGGCAATGTAGATAGAGTAGTTCGATAGCCGAAGTTTTCTTCGGAGGTCGCTCGGAGCGACTGAGAAGGTGTTCTTTAGTTCAACAACCGGGTGGGAGTCCGGTGTTCCAGATAATGGCAGTTAAGTTGGGACCTGGGAGGTCTCGGATCGGTTGGAAAGTGGGTAAGAGGCAGCAGGATCTTCGGACAGGTAATGATAAGAGAATTCTTGTGTGGAGCAGCTAGTTGACCGAGAGGTGCCGACTCACTCACAGCGGGATTAAATAATCTCAGAGTAAATGATTTGACTCTGTTGCACAGCTCTCATTTGAGTCTAACCGTTGTAGGGACGAATATTTTACTCGAAGGATTATCTGATTCACACGCTGAGTTGGGCGTTCAACATCTGGACATAGTAAGTGGAA